GTGTGTGTGGGTGTGTGTGTGGGTGTGTGTGTGGTTGTGGGTGTGCGCGCGCGTGTGCGCGCGCGCGCCAGATTCCCTGGAACTTGAATTACAGTCGTGAGCCACCATGTGGTTGCTGGGAATTGAACCCAGGTCCTCTGGAAGAGCAGCCAGTGGTCTTAACCACGGAGCCATCTCTCCAGCCCCTGGCACTAATTCTTATCCTGGGAGTTCAAGTTCCAGTCCCATGGGACTAAGTTTGTGCTGTGTATTCCTTGTCCCTGGTCTACTGAGTGACCTGCTTTCCCTTGCTCTGGGTGTCACTTGCAATGTAGCAAGGACTTTTGTCACCCAGGAACCAGGGAACCCTGGGGTCAGGCAGCTGTTCCTTACTGTCAGGCCTAATCCCACTTGGGTCGGAAGGGAACCAGTCTGACAGAAATGCTGCCTCTATACTTGACAAAAGGGGGGAACTGAGGTCCACAGCCACCAACTCCAAGGGTCTGGCTAGGATCTGTTGCTGCTCCTGCCTACTCTCCTGGCCCAGAGGGTCCAGGCAGAGCAGCTGCTGTCTAGGGAGGACGAGGGTGTCAAGCTTCATGATCTCTGCTCCTGGATGATTCCCCCCCCACACACCTCACCTAGTTAGGAGCTGCATGCGGGCCTGGCTGACTTCATTCTTTTTCCACTTTGGCCCTTAGGCTTGGCACATGCCTGCGCAGTGGATCCATGGAGCGTCAGCAAAGTCTATCCAACCTTGCCATCCTGGCTGTGGTGGTCTGAATATAATTGCCCTCCGCCCCCCAGGCCCAAAAAGGAGTGGCACTATTAGGGGGTGTGGCCTTGTTGGAGGTAGTGTGTCACTGGGAGTGGGCTCGAGGTTTCAGAAGCTCCAGCCAGGCCCAGTGTCACTCTTCCTGCTGCCTGCCATGGATCCAGATAGAGAACTCTCAGCTGCTTCTCCAGCACCATGTCTGCCTGCATGCTTCCTGCCATGACAATGGATTCAATCTCCGAACCTGTTAAGCCAGCCCCAGTTTGCCATGGTCATGGTATCACTTCATAGCAACAGAACACTAAGATACTGGCTGTGTCCACTGTCACAGCACTCAGTCCAGCGGCATCTAGGTGCCAGGCAGGAATGACACAACAGTATATTTGCCTGGTACCTTTTTAACGTAGCATGAACCAACATTCCCTGAGCTTCAAGTGGCCTGTGGATGGCACCAGGCTTCCAGGAATGAGGCTGGAGGAGGCCTAGGAAGAGGAACCAGCCCTTCTTTCCTGTCTTCCCTGCCCAGGAGCCAAGTTAACTTGCATCTCTGGAGCGGAAGAGCCTGGCTAGCAGCCCACTGCTGGGGTGAGGTCAGATGCATCCACCCTTCCCTGGGGACGGGGCTTGAGGTTCTGGCTGGGAGACCTGGGCTTAGAGCCTGGCTTTATCTGAGGAACCAGACTACAAACATCCTAAGATGTGGGAGTGACAGGCAGAGAAGATAGGCCCTAAGTGAGATGGCTCTCAGGCAGAGGCTCTATCAAGCCTCAGCCTGAGGCAAGCCTGTGGCTCCCCCCCTCTGCAGGGGGAAGAGGGCTAGAAAAAGTGAACCTGAGGGGGGGCACAGGCCAGCCACTGTTGTAACCTCAAGCCTCAGTTTAGCCATCGCCATCTATAAAATGGGGTTGGACGCTGCAGTTGTAGGGCCCAAGATGGCATGAATAAG